AGAAGAAAGGAAAAAAGCGGCCATGCAACCCGGACAACTGGGTTATGAAGAAAACAAAAACCCTTCGAAATAGCGGTCTTGGATACGTCTCTTACAACTCCAAACTTTCAGTCAGCGCCAGGAAAATCCGACCATCTTGTGGCTCAAAATGCCGTTTAAAATGCTCGGAAAAAACAAGGAAGAAGTTCGTCAACAGCTTTTTTCTGGATTTTGGAGTTTAGGCGATGTCCAGCGGCAGAGGGAGTTCATCGTATCATACAGTGACGAAATTAAACCAAATTACAGATACTTTAGCACTCAAAACTTCCGTGCCATGACTAGAGCCTTCTATTTCGACGTGCATAACGTCCGCATGAGAGTTTGCAAACAATTTTTCATGGCCACTCTTGACATAAATGCTTGAACAATACAGACTGCATTCTCATAAAAATCCTCTATAGGATTCGTTGCCGAAGATCGACGCGGGAAACACAATAATCATCCAACAGTTGACCCAGAAATCAAGGAAAGTGTCCGCCAATTCATAACTTCGATAAACTCCAGAGAGTTTATCGAAGGTGGCAAGAGCCTTGCAGACCTATTCAGGGACTATAAAGTAGGTCGGGAGAAGAGTTGCCGTCAGCAAATTCTGTCATGTTCAATAGAATATTTAATTCAGAATTTAACATTCCCTTTTTTAAACCGAAAAAAGATCAATTTGATGTCTGTGAATCTTACAGTAATGCCAATGATGAAGAAAAGGAGAGCATGAGAGCTACATTCGAAAAACACAAGAAGGAGACAGAGCTGTCACGAGCAGAAAAAGGAAGGGACAAGGATAACGCATCCGGAGCTATAGTCGCAGTCTACGATCTACAAGCTGTCATGCCATCACCAAGGGGGCTCGTCTCATCCTTTTATTATAAAAGCAAACTCAATTGCTTTAACTTCACTATCAGTGATTTGCATGCTAGAAACGTAAATTGCTATTTTTGGAATGAGACAGAGGCAAAACGAGGAGCCAACGAAATCGGAAGCTGCGTCTACCTCTACCTCAAGGACCTCAAGGAACAACGCCCTGATGCTGAACTGGATATTATATTCTATTCTGATAATTGTTGTGGCCAACGAAAAAATAAGTACTTGGTTAGTTTGTACCTGCACGCTACTCAGGAATTGGATATCCGCAGCATCACACACAAATTCCTAATTCGTGGGCATTCCCAAAATGAAGGAGACAACGTGCACAGCGTAATCGAAAAACAAATTTCCAGACATTTACGTGCATCACCGATCTACATTCCAGACCCTGATTCAATCGGCGAAGAAAACAGGCCTTCCCTACAAAGTGCACGTTCTTAACCACGAAACATTTTACGATCTTAAAGTCCTTGCTGACAGTTTCGGAAACAATTTCAATGTGAACACCGACAGATCAACGGTTACTTGGCATGACATCAAAATGATTTGTGTAGAGAAACAGCACGCAAAATCCTTCTACAAGACATCCTATGAAAATGAAGAATTCAAGGAGATTGACGTCAGAGGAAACAAGAGAAGTCGTCCCAGAACATCTATGCCGTCACAGATCTCAAGCCAGCTAGTACTAGCTTATTCAAAAAAAATTCCTTTAGCAGAAAATAAAAAAAAGACATAAAAGATTTAATTCAGAGAAGAACAATCCCTCAGTATTACTATGATTCTTTTTACAAAAATATTTTGGATCTGTAAGTCAGTTGGTATGTTTTCACTCCTCAAGAGAATTTATATTCAATGCGATTTTTGTAAACTTACTTTCAACCTTAGTTCATTGTTCATTCTAGTTATTAATAATTTGAAGTTGAGTTGGTTCTCATTTTTGTAAATTTCTTGGATTTGCTACCTCGATAGAGGACGAAAAACAATTAAGGTTGTTTTTTCACTTTCGTTTGTTCAAATATTCCTAAATAATTCATGTGAGATGAGAGTTAAGTCTGAGAAACGTCAAATAACGTTATTTTTCACTAAGAGTTTTGAACGTGATAAAGAACTGTTGGTGACTAGTTCCTACTTATGCTTAAAGTGTGCTCATACCTAGTTCTATTTGAATTTATCTGTGATTTTTGAGATCAGATTATAAATCTGGGATAGTCTTGCCTCTACTAATGTTAAAAAAGGTAATTAAGAATTGTGATTTACTTATTAAATACAAGAAGGTATAATTTCCGTTATTAAACAAGAGTTTTTTTACGTTTGAAATTTTTCTTCTTTTTTCCCCAATTTTTCACTTTTTTTATTGTAAAGCAAGATCGAATCTACAATAAGGTATCAACTCAAAATAAAACGCAGTACTCACTGCAGCTTGTGGTTGTTGTTGTTGTCAAAATATTTCCATCAATACCGTAACAACTCAAAATATTGAAGCGTCCAATGCATTGATTAATCATGAAAACCGTTATAACTTGGAAAATTTTCACGATTACGGAATATCAAATAGGGAAGGATACCAAATAACATCTGAAATTCGATTTTGAAGGACTATCTCACATTTTGTCAAGACTTTCAAACCCAGAATAATGATTATCAGCGGCGGAAACAGTTTTTCGCGTTTCCTGAAAAAAGAGGATTTTCGAGTTGACACTATTGAAGCAAGGGTGCGATATAAACATATAATATCAAAAATAATTTTGTGAATGAAAACATCAAAAGCTAATCTTAGCCCTGATTGGTTTTTGTCGTTTTCATGGTTTTGGTTTGTATTTAACACGGTTGAAAATGCAGGTAAATTACATAATAATAAGTAGTAAAAGATCATTCGATCAATATATTTGATTGTAAAATATACATTTTCAATCTTCCAAACTATTTGAGAAGCATGAATCTATCACCTTCTGAAAGAAATGCATTAGAATGGAGATTAATTAGAGATAACTAAATAAAATCCAAATTAACTGTAATTTGAGGTTCAAGAGATGATGAAAATCAACTCTGCATCAACATTCAAGAAAGAAAACACCTTCAACCAAAATTCTGGGAATATGAACAAGTCTTGCACGCAAAACTTTTTGTGAATCAAAACAACAAAACATACAGCAAGAAAATAATTCAACGAATTATTAAAATCCCAGTTCAACAAATAAATTGAAGCTCCGGCTTTCATATATTATGGTCTCCCTTGCGGTAGATTTTCATAAAAAAATTGTACAATGTCGGAAACTTCATTTTTTTATGGACAAAACACAAGCACTACTGGAAAATCCTTAAAGGGCTATAACATCGGTGCCTGTGCGAAAGTAGTTATTGACCAAAATTCAAGTTCAAGATTTTCCTGAAAGAGAATAAGAAATAACAATAAAACAATATTCCTGTAACAATAAAACAAATATTCCTGTTTCCTGGAACGCACCTGTAGGAAAGTATTTTTCTTTAATGTTGAGCTGGTAAAATAAAAATCAGAACACGACCCAGCTATTAACTTTGTGAAAATGTGAACATGAAATATCAAAAATAATCAATGTCAGGGAATTCAACTACATGTAACTCATTTTTGAAAATTTTCTATAATGAAGAGGTAATAAAAATCAACCCTGCATAAACATTCAAGAAGGAACCATTTGCCAAAATTGTTCGAGTAAAAGGCTCTCTTGAAAAAAAATAAAAAACAACAAAAACAATATTCCTGTAACAATAAAATAAATATTCATGTTTATTTGAATACACCTATAAGAAAGTATTTTCCTCCAATGTTGGGTTAGTAAAATGAAAAGCAAAACACTTCCCAGCTCTATTACCTTTGTAAATACATGAACATAAAATATCAAAAATAATTTTGTTAATGAAAACATCAAAGGCTAATCTTCGCCCTGGTTGATTTTTGTCGTTTTCATGGTTTTGATTTTTATTTAACATGGTTGAAAATTCAGTACATAATAAATAGCAAAAAATCATTTAACCAATATTATTTTATTGTAAAAAAATATACATTTTTCATGTCTTCCAAATTATTTCAAAAGGATGAATTCTTCACCTTCCACAAGAAATGCTTTAGAATGGAGATTAATTAGAGATTACTGAATATAATCCAAATTAACTGTAATTTGAGATAATGAAAATCAACTCTGCATCAATATTCAGGAAAGAAAGCACCTTTAACCAAATATGAACAAGTCATTCAAACAAAACTTTTTGTGAATCAAAACAACAGAACATACAGCAAAAAAATATAATGAAAGAATTTCATCCATCAGATTTTTTTTTTCTATATCCGAACTATTTCGAAGATCACACCAAAGAGGAGCAATAATAAATCGATTTGAAAACTTCCAATACCTTGATACTTTCCCTGACACAGAGCAACATATTTGACGAGGTGAGTAAGCTTGAGATTCACATCCAGTCCTAACTACATAGTAAATATTGGAGTAGATACTGAAGTAACGAATTATTGAAATCCCAGTTCAACAAATAAATTGAAGCTTCGGCTTTCATGTATTATGGTCTCCCTTGCGGTAGGTTTTTATTTAAAAAAAATTGTACAATGTCGGAAACTACATTTTTTTATGAACAAAACACAAGCACTACAGGAAAATCCTTAAGGCGCTCTAACAGCGGTGCCTGTGTGAAAGTAATGATTCACATTGGATTTGAATCGCTAGAGATTAAATCCATTTGGAGAAACGTTCTCAGAAAGTTTATTCCATGTAAACGCAGTTCTCCAAATCAAAAAGTTTTTGAACAGTAAGGTTCGAGACGTCCCGAGTTTAACCACAAAACGATGAGCACCCATATGTAACTAATTTTCGAAAATTTGCTATCAAGAGATACTGAAAATCAACTCGGCATAAACAATTCAAGAAAGAAAGTACCATTGACAAATATTGTTAAAGATTTTCCTGAAAGAGAATAAAAATAACAATAAAACAATATTCCTGTAACAATAAAACAAATATTCCAGTAACAATAAAACAAATATTCCTGTTTCCTGGAATACACCTGTAAAAAAGTATTTTTCTTCAATATTGGGCTGGTAAAATGAAAATCAAAACACTTCCCAGCTATATTTTACCTTTGTGAAAATGTGAACATGAAATATCGAAAATAATTTTGTGAGTGAAAACATCAAAAGCTAATGTTAGCCATGATTGGTTTTTGTCGTTTTTATGGTTATGGTTTAAAATACATGTGAATTACATAATATCAACTAATGAAAGATCATTCAACCAACATTATTCGATCGTAAATTGAGAAGAGTGCTTGTAAAAATGAATTACAACACCGCCAACAACACGACTAGTCCACAATATTTCACAAACTTCGTTGTATTTCTTTTCAGTTTCCCAGGTTAACTCTTGCACTTGAGATGGCTTTTGTTGCGTTTCAGGTGTCTTTATCATAAAGCAGGACTCTGAAAAAAATATAAGACCTTAGAATCACACATTTCAGTCATCAATACAGTTAAACTGAAACTACATACTACTATTATTTTCACTACTATGTTCTAATTTTTTTTGTGGAATGAATACATTATTATTTATTACTATTTTGATGCATCGCATCATATCTCAAATAAGTATCTGTTAATAGTTGCACTTACTAGTTGCTACCACGCCACTAGTAAGTGCCATGCATGGCCGTTAAAATAAAATTTAAAATTTCAAATCCTCTAAATGTTATTTCTGAATAAATTTTATATATATATTTTCTTTAAACCATAAAAATTTTAATGTTTGACACTTTTCTACATAATGAAAAGGACTTTTTTGTGTTTCTCAGTGAAATTTTCGACTTTTTAATATAACCTCAAGTTAATGTCTTGATAAAGGGAATAAACATTCTCGAAAGCTCTTTCAGATAATTTGGCTATAAAAAATTCATTCAAGCTATAGAAGGGATGATCAAAGAGTAAAAACTTCACACTACCTCTGAATCTATTATAATTCTTGATTTCCCTAATTCTTGCTGGAAGGTAGTTGTATATTTTCAAGCCGTTATATATAATAGAGTCCTTTACGAGGCGACTTTTGGGTATAGGCAACATAAGAGTCGAGGTTTGGGAAGATCGAGTATTGTAAGACGATGACGCTCCTTTCTCAAACTGACTACTGATTCTACAAACTGATTCTTATTGATATCCATTCCCTGTCGGAAATAGTGAATTCTGAAACAAAAAACCTAACTCAAATAAACATGAATAATGCTACAACACAAACTACTAAACTGATTACATAGTTACCAGTTATAAATATATCCCAGAAACTATGGAATCTACATCTGAAGAGACAGAATCTGGGAGCCAATCGAAGCTAGAGTGTACAGTAAAAGAACAAGATACGCAACGAAACAATACACTGAAGGTGGAGAACACGAATTTTGAAGACAGAAATTTAACTAGTCTGTTTGAAGAAATGAAAGTAGCCAATATCACTACTAAAGCTAACGAACGGAAGAATATTTTAGTTGTCATTGAAGAAGTGGACAACTATCAAATTGGTACAAGAGAGGAAAAGTCGACCTATGAAACGGATTCAGCCAATATCACAACTGAAGCTAATAGACGAAATATTAGTACTGTAAATATTGAAGAAATATGCTATAACCAAATCGTTATTTTTAACACCACGACACGTGTTTCGATCACCAAGTGAACATCTTCAAAGAGGAAGATTAAAACTAGAAACTAATGCGAGCTAACCCTGTGTATGCTATATAGGTATCCCATCCAGGCGTACCACCCATACAGGTATACCAACCTAAATTAATTAACAATTTTGCCTTATCTATTATTTTACAATATATGTTTATATTAAACAATTTTCAGCTATAAAAAAATTAAATTTCACAATATTGCCTATCCAAATTTATTTTTGCAATATGTCCTTATGTAGTAATCAGGAAACCCAACAACATTATTTTATTTTAACAAGCTATATAGTTATGCTCTTTGATATAGGTCCGTCACCGTTATTCATAATATTATTGTGTTTACTTATTTCTACACTCTCAGAGGCATCTAGTTGCCTGTTGTTGTTAACTTGTCTAACTAATCTTAATGAACTGAAGTCTATGGAATGGTTTTGTTGCAAAATATGATGGGCGACTGCTCATTATTCAGGTCTTCCATATTTAAAGTGTGCTATGTGTTCCTTATATATTACTTTAATAGATCTTTTTGTCTGTCCATAATACAATATTTTGCGATGCAAAATATCATATTATGTCAGTGTTTCACATGACATATTATTGAGAAAACTTGAAGAAAAATATGGTAGAGGCATAGTATATGACCCAAAACATTCTTTTTTGACAGAACGGCTGCAATATATATTATATAACAATGTAAAATCTGATACCAAAATTGTCAAGCATGGAGTACCTCAGGGATCCGTACTTGGGCCCCTTTTATTTATTATCTATATAAATGATCTTCCTATGTATATTGATACAGCAGATGTTTTTTTTATATGCTGATGATGCATCTTTTGTCATAAGTAACCAACAAGTTTGGAAGCTAGATCAGTTGTCATGTGAAACACTGACAAAATGCGAAACATACTTTAGCGCTAATGTTCTATGCTTGAACGCAAATAAAACTCAAGAAATAACTATTGCAAATAGATCCCAAATGCATGGCGGTGACAAAGAGGTGTGTTTACTAGGAAATTAAATTGGAATGGACATATGACCTCGTTATGTAAAAAGCTCACAAGGTGTCGCTACGCATTGAGAGGACTAAGAAGTTTAGTTTCAAATGATGTGCTGAGAATTGCATATTTTGAAATGGCTCATTGCTACATAAACTATGGAATACTGATATGTATATTTTTCATATTTTCAGTATGAGGTACCTAAGCAAATTTTGTTATTGCAAATATTTTCGAATTTAACAAATTGTAATTTGAGGTCAATAAAATTTCTTTCTTCTTTCCTTCTTAGAACCAGCTGCATACTCTATGAATACATCCGACAATTATTTTTTAGACCAAGCTCTTTATATCTGGAAAATACCAAAGACCATGTTCTAACAGATGAAAATGTAAGTATTACTACCCATAGTTTACGTTCTGCAGTAGCTCAAAATGAAAATATTTCTTTTGCCCACCAAAATATTCAATGTATTAATAAGAAAATAGTTCTTCTAAATAATACATTTACAGAAGCACTGGCAAAAGGCTGAACAATTAGAAAGTATTAAGTTGAGCAGTGTTGATCTTTGCTCCTCTTACCCTTGAGATACCAAGATCCATGGAGTTTCCATCTATTAACATAATTTATTTTGAATCATTCATGAGCTAAATATGACTAGTTTTTGTAAAGGTGTTATAGAAGTATGTAGAATCAAACTACTGAGTGAAAATAAGATTTGTATAGCAATTTACAGACCACCTTATGGTGACTACAGTGAATTCCCGCTTTAATTTAGCGGAATTCTAGAAGAAATTAAATCTGTTTAAAATCTGTTTTCCGTTAACCAGCTGTCGCACCCCTACGAGCGACAACCCTCAAAAGTCGAAACTTGTTCCAGCCAAGGATTAATGAGGTCTTACCTTTTAACGTGTGATTCCTAAGACGGATGATGATGATGATGATGATGAGACTACATTGATAATCGTTGGTGTAGACTTCAATATCAATGTTCTATTACATATCACCAACCTTACTCTTCTAGAGGACTTACTATCTTCCTATGATATTGAAATCGGTTTGAGAATGCCAACAAAGGTTACGGTAAACTCAAGGGCATGTATCGATAACTTTTTTTATCAAAATAAGCCACCCCAATAATGTGGCAATAGTAGACCTTCATCTTTCAGATCATTACTCACAATTTTTGAAAATTATTTCTGATCTGCAACATGAAGTCAGTAATCGCGAGAAAAATAGTTTTCCTTATCGTTGTGACCTATGCAATGAAAATATTGGAAGATTTTGTAATTACTTATGACAAGAAGACTGGGCAGACGTATGTGCTCATAGTTGACCCCCCCCAACTTAGCAAACGACGATAAAACTCTAACCAATTATTTTGAAATATCGTTCCCAAAAAGTTAAATTGCCTTAGAGCGACAAAAAAAAATTTCTGGGCCCAAAATAATGATGACTCGTGAAATAAGGGAGCTGAAAAATAAGATTTCGTTGTTTGATACATTAGCTAGCTAATAGATACAAGGAAGAATGTAATAAATTCGATAAAAAAATACAAAGAGAAACTGCAATCGCTGAACAGACAATATCATGATTATTTGATATTAAACTCATGCAACAAATCTAAAACTTGGGCCATAATTGGGGAGTAACAAAAAATAAAACTATGAAACATCGTGAAATAGTTATAATAATGATGTTCAATATTCAGATGAAATGATAGCTGAAAAATTTAATCTACATTTTACTAAGACTATATCTGAAAACTTCTCTGTAGACACAAAGTTTCTCGAGAGCAATGTCACCTTAAATAACGCAAGCTTTTTTATGTTTCCAATTACTGAATGGGAACTCGCACGAATGATTAACAGATTGAAAAACTGTAACTCCAATGAAATAATAAAAATTTGCTCTGGTGAACTGACCTTTACAATTAAGGCATCTCCTATTTTTAAAAAAGGTGATCCTAACAATATGGATAACTATAGAGCAACTATAGAGCTCTTGTGAACTGACCTTTATAATTAAGGCATCTCCTATTTTTATAAAAGGTGATCCTAACATTATGGATAACTATAGAGCAATTAGTATTCTATCAAGTATCTCTAAACCGTAAAAAAGTAATACAAAAGAACAATTTCACAGCAAATAACTTGTTATCGCCCTCACATGGTTTCACTAAGAAAAAAAGCACTGATACAGCACTGTGTGAATATCAAAATCGAATAGTAAGTGCTCTTGACAGAAAGAAATGTGTATTAGGATTATTTATTGACTTTTCACGGGCTTTCCATACTTATATAAGAGAAGATCAGCAGGCAAAGTTCGAAAAAGGCTAAGTAGCGAAAGAAATATTGAGGATGGGGTACCACAGGGATTCATTCTAGGACCCTTCTTCTATTTAGCTGTTGCCAATGACTTGTCAGTGTTCCTAAATGAGAACTCGGCCATTCACTGTACATGTTATGCTGATGATACTAATATATTATTAATTATTGAAAACGATATGGAGTCCGCGAAAAACACAGCTCTCGAGACCTACAAAAAAGTTATTATGTGGTCGAATAAAAACAATTTAATGTTGAATGAAGCCAAAACTAACTTGTTAAATTTCAAGATGAATACTGGGCAACAATATGTGTTGAATCTGTTTGTCGATACTGCTTTGGAATTGAACCTAAGTCAACAAAAACGTTTGGAGTTGTTTTTGATGTGGAGGACACATATTGACAACTTATGTAATAAACTTAGAAAAGCCTGTTATTCTCTTAGGTTTCTCTCCCACCATGGTGGTCAAAGTATTTTATTGACTGTCTATTAGGCAAAACTTCAAGAAGACATCTTAGATATGGCATTCTTAACTGGAGCACATCCTCTACTGTGTCTCGTGTGTTTTATATACAAAACATTGCTAAGTTGGGCTATAGAGATTCTTGTAGAGAAACTTTTCAGAATTTGAAAATATTAACGTTAGCAGAAGTAAATACAGGGCTTTTCATGATGAGCGTTAATTAGCCGTTTCTGACAAACTATTTAACGGATCAACCTGAAAATTTCACAGTATGCAAAAATCAATATGACAGACGAAGTGGCGTTGTCGCTTCTACTATAAAGTAGCGGCTTCTTTGATTTTTCAAATGTAACACCCCGTATATAATATATTATGATTCATTATCACTTTGTCAACAAATTCATATACTATTTCCCTATACCAGTCTATTACCGTTTGGAAGATATAAATTAATTTCGATATTTTTTTTTACCAAACATGAACTTTTATAAATACCGATAATCTTGAACTCTCTTGCACTAAAACGATCAAATTTGAAATGGAGTGGAGCGATACTATGAGGATCTTCACTCTGAGTCATATTTTCATTTGCCTCATACAGGGTCTTCAAAAAATGCAGATACTTTGATTTCATGAAAAATGAGTGGAACTCAATTTTTTCAAATGGAATACCCTGTATATTTCAACATTTTTGAGCTCTACATCCAATTTTAGAT